CTCGAGAGGAGATGGGATCACCAAGAGAAAGATTATAGCTGGAGAACAACCTGGGCCTTTCACAGCAGAATGGAAGAGAAGTCTGGGAGAAAAGAAGCCAGCAAAGGAGAGGCAAGATTGGCCTATGAGACAGGAGGAAAATCTAGAAACCCAAGAGCAACCAAGTGAAAGGATGTTTTAAGGAGAAAGTATGCAACTATATAAAACGTTGCTGAGAACTGACCATGACATTTAGCCACAGGGAGATCATTGGTGACCTTGACAATACTTTTTGGCGGGTAGAGCTGAAAAAGTCTTATTGCAATATTTAAAAGAACATGAAAGGATAGTAATGGACACAGTTTATGTAATTCTTTCAAAGAGTGTCGCTCTAGAGGAGAGCAGAGATACAGGGCAGCAGCTAGGAGGGGAAATCCTGTCACTCTTCTGCTCAAAAGCCTTTACTGGTTGCCTCCTGCCCACAGGTCAAGTCCAGATCCACTAACTTGGCATTTAGGACCCCCTACCACCACCACTTTCCAATAGACTCATGTGAACTTCCCTTTCCAGCCAGCAAGGATGACCATGTATCTTCACAATGCATCACCTACTCGTTCCAACTGAGTGCCAAGCATTGTGTCAGTGACCTAGGAGGAGCAAGCTCAGACCCTCAAAGAACCACCTCACAGTCTAGTGGAACAGCTGGACAGTCATGATGACAGACACATCTGTAAGGTCATCATTTGTAAGGTGTTCTGCTGCTAAAAGGTAGACAGAATAATTCAGCCTGAGGAAATCCAGGAACACTATGCAGTGGGATAACACCTGAACTCAACCAACAGGACTTTATACTGAAGCAGAAAGGCATGGAGAAATAAAACAGCACAAACTGGAATATATTTCCACGTGGCCGTAAAACAGGGTCTGACAGGGGTGGGTGGTAGAGGGTGACACTGGAAGGCAGGTTAGAGGAAAAGTTAGAAGGGATAACAATAATCCTAGCTAACACTCACTGAGTACTCACCATGTACCAGGCACTCAAACTGCACCACAAGCATTATCACAGTTTTCCCAACATTCCTATGAGGCGGACCCCATTCTGACCCTCATTTTACAGATGAGGAAAGGAAGACTCAGAAAGGTGAAGTCATGTGCTCACAGTCACACAGCTAGAACATGCTGAAGCTGACATGTGAACCTGGGAGTCTGACTCTGGGGTATGGACAGAGGCAGACCAGCAAGCAGAAAGAACCCTTTCTAGCAGGTGAGACCATTACTCACATACCAGGAGTCCAACTCAGGAGGTGGGGGCAAGGAGGGACAGGAAAGTGGAGAAGAGACAGGAAGCTGGGGTGGTGCAGGAGTGGAGACAAAGGGAAGGGAGGGAATCAAGGGGTACCACACAGGTGGAAATGAGAGGACAAAATAGCCAATCAAATCAGAGCTAAGTTTGGAAAGAAGAAAGAGGCAAGAAAAACTCAAGAGGCCCAGCTTGTACCAAAGGGTGGAAGTTGTAGCTATTAACAAAAATCAGCAAGGTTAGAAGAAATGAGGGGAGAGAAAGGCAGGGACAGGGAGAACCACTATACTGAATTCCAGATTTTTCTCCCTCTCCTGCCTCTGACCAGGGCTGTTCTGACTGAAAATTTTAAAAAAATAATAAAAATTTAAAAAGACATTTTTTAATAATTGGGGAAAATTAAATGTGGACTATGTATTAATAATATTAATTCTTAATTTTGCTAGCTAGGTATAAATGTTAAATTGCGGTTATGTGAAAACAAGAAGTCCTTAAGGTTAGAGATGCCTACAGAAATATTAGCAGGTGAAACGATATTTTTGGGATTTGCTGTAAACTACTCTAACAGGGAAAACAGTTAAGCGGGGCATTGGATGCAACAAGAACAGAAATGGAGTAAGGGATATGTTTATTTTTCATAAAAAACATAAAGAGCTTCCGTAAAGAAAACACTACGGAGCGGCTCTACTCTGTAACACATGGGGTCACTATGAGTTGAAACTGACTCAGCAATGGGTTTGCTTTTTTTTTTTTTTAAGTGTCTTAAAACTTTGAAGCGGGAAGGGGAACAAAAACCAAAACAAACAGCTAGCCCCTGGTTTCTCCAAATAAAAGCACAAATTATGTAATCTAACGCTTTGCTTCCTCCCCTGTAAAATAGGGATTTCAAGTCCTCTCTTGCACCTTGGTTGAAGGAATAAAACATGGCGGCGCTTTTAAAGCCCTGCACCTGGCACAGAACAAGCCCTCAGTGAAGGGCAGTTATTGCCATTTTTGTTTTCTCAGCACATGACAAGTCCTGAGCATGAACAGTTCTGGGAATGCTGGAGCAAGGATGGAGGTGTCCTGAATGAGGGCACCAGGGCTGAGGAATATTCTCCGTGAGAATCGTCACCCTGGAGGCCTAGTTTCCTGGGGGACCTGCTGAGGCTCTGAGCCCCAAACAGCGCACTGTAGGGCACAAGATGTCAAAGATGAGCAAAGGAAACCCAAAAGGTAAGTGGCACCCACCCAAGGCTGGGCTGTCAGGGGCCCGGGAGTGCTCCCTTTCCTCAGCAGGAGTCTTCTCTGGGCAGGGAGGGGCCTAAGGAGGCAGAACAACCGAAACGGGTCCAGGGATGTCACTGGAAATCCTCAAGCTACAGCAAGGTGGGCGCTCTTCTCTCTTAAAGGCATCAGGAACAGACCGGCCACAGAAGGAAATGGCTGCGGGCAGCTTCCTGGGGACAGCTGGGGTGTAGGCTGTGAACACTGCCTGCCCCGACAGGCTGCCGAGACTGAGCACGAAGCTGATCCTCTCTGTACCTCTGGAATCTTGTGGTTTTTTGTTAATGATGTAAGTTAACACTTGTTGAGCACTTAGTATTGATTTAGGAGATAATATTGGAGCCATTATTCCCGGTCCTAAAGTGTGACCCAGATGGAGCTGGACCCACGAGGACACATCAGCTGGGCCCTGAGGTATAAAGACAATAACTAGGACAATCTTGGAAAACACCTTTTATGGAAGGTTTCACATAAACAAATCAGAAAACACAGCACTAATGACCCACCTACTTTCCACTCTTAATCTTTTTTTATTAGCCTTTAGTAAATTGTAAGATTTGCTGGACCAACGAAGACCCTCGAGTGTTGTTACTGAAACCTGTACCAATGATTAAGAAAGATGATTAAAAATGTAGAATCACGTTCATTTAGCAGTTTTTAGCCAATCGGTGAAAAGGTGAAGATTTCAATGATTTTATCCATTTGCGACGTTAATATATACCGATGATTCCGTCACATTCCTCAGATTTGGGCAGACATTAGCTCTCGCAGCATGCCTGTCCGCGTCCCACTTTTGCCTTTTTGAATACACGCTGAATAAAACTTTCTTTTTGCTTTAGTAAACTCTATGATGTTTTTACCCTACAACAGTATATACCGGGGACTGTTCCAAACACTATGTGAGTTTTATCTCATTCTATCCTCACAACAGCCCAATGAAGTAGATATTTTTTACTCTCCTCAGTTTACAGATGAGAAAATTGAGGAAAAGTAATCATAGTGACACAACTATAAAGTGACAGAGCCTGGATGAAATCTCGCTGGGGAGGGCCATGCTCTTAAACAGTAAGGGCAGTGATGGCAAACCTGTGTGGGCTGTCAAGATTCTCCTGTGCATACATTTTGAGAGGAATCAGGATTGGCCGTGAGGTGGTTAACTGTGGAATCTAGGTGATGGGTCTATGAAGTTCAACCTATTCCTGGCTCTTTGAAATTTCTCCAAAATTAAAAAGTTAAAATGAGACTGAAAACCCCAAAGCTTAGCTACACCAGAGATGGGGGACTCTGTGACTCCTGTGGTCAATGACAGTCCCTGAGACCTTTGAAAAACTTGCCTAGTGAGCCCCAGCCTGACCTCCTCCAAGGCCTCAACCAAACTAAGGCGGTCAAGATCAGTACTGTCAAAGAGAAAAATTAGTAACAGACGTCTTATTTTGATTGTAAGGTTTTTCTTACCCATGAAACCAAATATTAACCTAAAAAAATCCTGACCAAAAATTAATCCTGCCATAAGCTTTTTTTTCCACCCAAAGTTGCTATCTTTTCCTTCCTGTTCAAAGCCAAGCTTAATTCAAATTTCAAAAGGTATAGTGGCTACAGATGGGTGGAGGGCCAGAGACCACCTTGTGAACTCATATCAGTAGCCAGTAGTGAAAGGGGGAGGGCAAGGTTCAAGCATGTTAAGATTAGCCAATGGCTGATCCTCTACTCTCCTTCCTGTCTGTAAGCCTCCTTGTAACTAGCCTACTTCCAGATATCTGCTTTTTTTTTGGAATCAGAATAGTCTCCCTATATGCATATAGAACAACTCTTCAGAATAAACCTTAAATTTCTATTTCTTTGAGTTTTAATTATTTTTAACATTTAACAGTACTTACACCCCAAGAACCAAAATGGCCACCCCACTCCCAGCCCAACGAGGGCAAGTTTGGTCAATCCGGTACACCCCTCACCCCGTCCTAGCAAACCCTAGGGGTAGTTGGGCCCTAAAAAAAGACTACTAGCCCCCATCCACTAAAACCCCGGAGGCACACTGCCCCTAGGGTGGCTTCCACCCTACTACCTGGGGAATATCAGATCCCAAAAAGCCTACTTATCCAACCTCACAAAACCCGAGGACTTAAGACATGACCCCCCAATTCCGCGATTTCGACCCAACCGAACCAGCCCCCAACCCACAAAAACCCTAGAAGGACAGGCCCGAGTCCGGCTCCCATCACCACCGGGCTTCACGGTCACAGCACTCTTGTCTGAGATGCGCGCCCACACCAAGATGAGACATCCGGGAGAGCACGGCCTGAGCCACGACAGCGCGTCCCCACCACTGCCCCCCAATTCCACCCCGCGCCATCCGCACCTTCCCCAGCCTCAGCCCCCAGCCCAGCCTTTCAGGATCTTCCTTGCCGCGAGGGGAAGGGCACGGATACAGGCAGGGTCCCACCGGACTCTCACTCACCAGCGCCACCAAAGAACACGGCGTCGCTCCAGCCACCAGCTGGGCATCTACTCCAGCAGCGCGCCAGGACTACCCTACCCAGAATCCTCCGCAGGGCGCCAGGACCACACCTCCCAGGCTGCTGGGTGGAACCAGCCGCACGCTGGCGGCCAGCAGTCCCACTGGCTTCTTCGGGAGCGGGTTGTGGGTAACTTGCACCGGTGACCTGGCCAATGGGCACTGTGGCAGCAGGAGTACCCTCTTTTTTCTTTAAACTACGTACGTAAGACGTGTGGAAAGCCTGGTGGCGTAGCTAACCAAAAGGTCGGCAGCTCGAATCCACCAGGAGCTCCTTGGAAACCCTATCGGGCAGTTCTGCTCTGTCCTGTTGGGTCTCTATGAGTCGGAATCAACTCCACAGCAACTGTGTTTTGTTTTTTGTTTTTTTTTAAAGACCTGTAGAGGTTGCCAGGTGAAGCTCCCTGCCGTGCCCCGCTCTCTAACGCTTCCACCTGAAAGACTACACTCCCCAGAGGCCCCTGCGGTGGCTTCTGCATCCGGTGCTGGGTCCACCACCCCCCCCCCACCTCCGCGCGCAGTGATGACGTGTAGGGGAGCGTCTGTTGAGCTTCTCGGGTTGGCTCGGGTCGTCGGTAGCAGTACCTGGTAGCTTACCGGTCTGGTCCGGATGGCGGTGGTGTCCGGTCTCCCGAGCTCCAGCTTTAGAATTGGAAATCTCCGGCCCGCATAGCCTCGTGCAGCTCACATATCCTTGAAACTCTAAGCTACTGGAAAGACAGGCTGGGAGAGGCAGAGCAACCCTCCCAAGATCTGTATTCTGACCTCACGCTGTCAACCCGAGCCCCGGTCTGCGGGTGTCCTAAACCATTTTTCTTCATACTGGAGTCCACAAAGTTAGGGGCAAACTCTCACCCATCTCCGGGAGAACAGGAGCCTCGCCCTGACATGAGAGCTTGGGGCTGAGCCCGCCGAAAGCTTTGCTCTCTGGTTCAGGGACCTGGTTGAGGACGGGACTGCGCTGGTGCCATCTGGATCGCCCCTTTCTTGAAACTTTGCTCTCCAAGAGACCACGAAAATGTTCTGGTTGCCCAGAAAGCTAGGGGAGATGAGAATTTCCGGCAATTCTTTCCTAGATCTTGGAGGATAAACCCATTTCCTTCTCTTGCCTTGAGGCTACCTTGTTCGCAGTAGGTTCAGCCCAGCTTTGGTCTCAGTGTCCCTCTTTGCCCCACCCGTCACCTAGTCATTCACCAAAAGGTTAGCTGTTAACACACATGGAATAATCAAAGTAACAATGCGAGGACGCCTATTTTTAAGTGTCCAGTGATGATTGCTGTAGGTCAAAGGCATGGAAGGCTGAGATCTCAGAGGTCTGGAGATAAGACACCAGGGAAGACTTCCAGGCTGAGGGGCTGCATAAGCTGCTCTGAGGGAGTTGGCAAAATGTAGAGTTGAAGAGGTTAAAAGGCAGGCAGAGTCTTAAGCTTTGGACCACTGGGCAGACTGCTCTGGCCACAGTAAGGGAAGTTTTCAGCCTTACAGTTAGGCTGATTTTCCATGCATATAGGCAAAGATGCCATCTAGCTGTCCACATGTGACAGATATGTTTGGTTTGGCCGGCCTCCTGTTTTATATTTGCATGCGTTCTTGACATTTAATAATTGGGAGTTTGTACCAAGGAATCTGGATTGCCTGCTTTCCAAAAACAGCCCTGCCCCTTTCTAGATCTCCTCTTTTGCTCACGGTACTTCCCCCCCCCCCAGCCCCATCCTGCCCCATATCCCATCTGAAATACTATTGCCCACTCCTCTTTTCTTAGCTCTTCTAAATCCTGTCCATCTGTTGCCAGGTGGAAACCCCAGGTTCTGCTCAGCGTGACACGTATCAGCCAATAAACAAGAGACCAAAGTGGGAGAGCAGAAAGGCGCCTTTATTTCGTTGCGCAAAGAAAGGAAACAGTCGGGGCTGCTGCCGCCAAGACTGCTCCTTGAGAGCAAGGGGAAAGATTACTTATAAGGGGTGTAGAAGTAGAAAGTTCATTCAGGTTACATCAGCAGCAGTCAATCATACTATGCAGGTCCAATGGGGTTTACATATAACTTCATGCATTACTAGGATTTTAATGTAAAGTTACGGGGTGTGCCCAGCAAAGGAACCAGGATTCTAATGCAAAGTTACAGGGCAAGCCAAGCAAGCTGTTCGAGGCAGTGGATTTTCTGTAGCCAGGGGAACTTTGTCTTATTCCCTCCTTTTTTTTTTTTTTTTTTGGACATTGGTCATTCAGGACCAGTGTCCACTATGAACTATAGCCTGGCTCAGAACTCTTTGGCATGTTCTAGGGGAGGGGGCAAATATTGGACACAGGCTTGAACAGTTGGCCTTTTTAACCAGGACATGCAGGCAGGGATATATTGTATGCAACAGCAGGAGCATATACCTATGATCATTATTAACACTATAAAAGCAACCAGTAATTTTAAACATTCTAGGTTGAGTAACCATGATGTCAGCCAGCTAAATCAGGACCTGAAAGCATCATTAATTGTTCAGTGGTCGCATGATCTCATTGCAGTTGTCTAACTACTGAACTCAGCTTTTTTTGGTCATGTTCAATCTGTCTAAATGCATTGACTAAAGAGCAAAAGCCAGCACTGGTTTATATGCAAACTTCTCCGTAAGAAGCTAACACTAGATCTAAGGCAACCCAATTTTGTAGAACCATGGTTTCAATGGAGTCTACTTCAGACTGCAAAGTCTAGGTCAAGATTTTGGTGGTATTGGTTACTGTCTCAAGTGACAAAGATACATTCTTAATGAACTGGTACAGGGTATGAATGTCATCATAATTCTTCCCAACCCCAAGCACTGGGAGTAGCACCCTCTGTGCCTTTTCCCAAGAACTTTTAGTAACATCTATAGTTTCTCTTATAAACCTATGGATACTTCTGGTGGAATGTAGAACCTCTTCTAGAGGAAGTAAATGTATGCCTCCTGCCCATGTCCAGCGCAGTGTACATGTGCCAGTATGATTACCTGGCCATGTCTTATAGGCTGAATGCCCACACAACCAATAAAGTCCTTGGTGTCTTAATGAGTAGGCTGTAGGGGGAAATTGGAAGACTGCTTTTATGATGCTTCAGTCGGTTACATTGTGCCCTAGTTTTTCTGACATAACCATGCTAATGCTGTCCCGTTTAAAAGACATGTTGGTATTGAATTTAGTCAATGTTTGGTTAGCATTGACCCAAGTAGTATTGCATTGTGGCCACTGTCCTGCTGTTGAGGCATTATAGGTAGGATGCCACTGTATGCACCAAGCTGCTGGATAGTCAGACCTCACAGTGGTGTATTGGACTCTTGTCTAGGGTTTTGTTTTTATTTATTAATTGTGCCCCCTCTTTTATCCAGTAAGTTGGATGGAGAGGTACAGGGATTATGGGTAATCCTTGCCCTACATATGAAGGGGAGTGTGAACAAATCCAGCAATTACTAGCCCATGCAGTATGGTTTACAACTGCCTGGTGCAACCTATTAAGAACATTGAAATCCCATCCAGCATTTACACATAGGGCAACTTCTAGGAATAACCACATCACCCTGTTCATGGTTGATTTTGCTCACTCAAAGGTCTACAGCAATCTAACTTGTTCAAGTAGAGTATACAAGTATAGGAAACAATACTAACACCAAGGTTATTAGCAGTGTTAAGGGTCTTTGCCGGGGGGCAGGGGTCTCACCCATGCAGAAAGGTGTCGGGAAAACATGTATGTAAGGTCCTCAACTGGCTCACAAGTCCAGTTCTCACAGTTCTGGCGAGTCTGTCCCTCGGCATTTGGCGGGATGATTTTCTTTACTTGAGTATGGTGGATCCAAGCTTTGAGCCAGTGGTCTCCAGGCATTGCCCCAGTTCGCTGGCCCCTGGGGGCGCTTCAGCAGTGTTTTTGGGATTATTTTTTGAGCAGGTGGGCAGCTCTTTTCCACCACCGAAATAGTGGTGTGGACCTTTGGTTCAGTTAAATGTCTGTTAGCCCAATCATAAAGTCTATCAAGTCCATAATGGCTGGACTGATGGGCTTTCTGTAGGATAGGGTGCTTTAGTTTTGATGGAATGAAAATCTTTCCATGGGGAGTGTACAGTCATCCATCCTTGTTTAGAGTGCCCCCCCCCCGGCCCCGGTCTTGGCAATGTCTTTATCTTGTTGGGAATAGTCCGAGTGGGGTCAGGTGTTGGTAACTCCAAATAAGGAATTAGCAGGGCTACTCTGATAGGTTTCTGTTGGATTGCAGCTTTCTTTGCTGCTGCAGTCTGCTTTGTAATTACCTGTGGGCACCGTGGTGTCCCCTTTCTGATGTTTTTTGCAGTATACTACTGCTCCTTGGGTGGGTAGGAGAACGGCTTGTAAAAGTTGTAAGATCTCTCGAGAATATTTAATGTCTTTACCTCCTACTATTAGAAGCCTTGTTTCCTTCTAGATTGCCCCATGTGCGTGCAATACCCCAGATATGTACTTGGAATCAGTATAATAGCTGCTCACTTACCTTTGGGGATTTTAAGGGCCTGCAGCATGACAATGAGCTCAGCCTTCTGGGCAGAGGTACCTGGGGGAAGAATGTTAGCCTCTAGAACCTCCTCCAAAGTGACCACTGCATATTCAGCATTTCTTTCCATGTAACTGCTTCCATTGGTGATCAGTTTATGGTGTGTGTTTTGGAGCAGCTGGTCAGTGAGGTCAGGCCAACTGGCATACACCAGGTCAGTGGTCTTTAGGCAATCATGTTCTTTTTCTTGCTTTGGCAAGGTGGGCAGTAGGGTGGCCAGGTTTAAACAGGTGGTTTCTCATAGGGTGATGGCTGGGTCATCTAACAGTACTGCTTGGTACTGGGCCATTAGCCTCAGGGAGATCCAATGTAACCCTCTCGGCTCTAAGATGGTCAGAACCGAGTGGGGCACGGTCACCCAGAGATGTTGGCCAAGGGTGAGTTTCTCGGCTTCTTTGAGGATTAATACTGCTGCCACTACTGCCTGAAGGCATGCTGGCCATCCTCTGGTGACTGAGTCTAAGTGCTTTGAGAAGTATGTCACTAGCCACTTCCAAGTCCTGAGAGTC